TTAACCCAAAGAACCTAAGAGTGTATGTATCATATGCCCTCTCTTCCCAAGTAATATACGGCTCTGTTTGAGCCCTCCAGATGTGGAACTCTCAAGGATTGAACTTCGCTAGAGGAATTCTCCAATCCAGAAAGCTGGCAAACAGTGTTTAAAAGTTGGGTTTCACTTCTGAATTGTCACTTTGCCCTTCAGCATATTTAATAAGGCCTGCGATTATGACAGGGGATCATCTGTACAATTTCCCCTATTTCCACCATCAAATCCTACACCCCTCCATTGGATTTCGGTACCACAGTAGTTATTACGTAACCCGAGTCGACACAAACATGTTTTTTTTTTCTCAGAAACTAAATTAAGGGTAATTGAATTTTCTCTCATCGAACGTCTTTCTGCAGGTTGGAAGGCCGAGCACCAAATTTACTGAAAAGTATACCTTGCTTTACAGAAAAATGTTGACAACTGAGAGGACCTAAATTTAATTTGCGGAAAATATGGCTGCTATACTTCTGGCAAAAGTTTCCCTTTCCTGCCAAGAATAAATATGCGATGGCTCTGGTACAAAATTATATCACTGCAAAATACTAGCCTGTGTAAAGTAAAACGAATGTTAAAAAACATTTGTGTGGTGTTTGATAGCATAATAATTTACAACGGTGAAATTCTAAAAGGCAAGAGCGTGCTTGCATAAAAAAGACACGTTTCGGCTTTTGGAACCAGTGCCAAAGAATTGCTGAAAGTAAAGTAAGGGATTGTCACCTCTCGAAGAACTACACTCATGCATTGTGGGCATCACCAAAGGAAATGTCGCTTTTATGTTCGTCAGCCTTTTCAGCTCAGTTGTCAACCCAAGAGAACAGACATGTAACCCCTTCACACCCGCAATCTAAAGATTTCAAACATCTTCACAGATGGGAGCGAGTACTGTGTTTGAGCGCTTAAATGCATATGTAACTTGTTGCAGAGGTTTGCAGTTCAAGCCCCCGGCTGCCCTGGTTAATATTGCAACTGTTTTCACCATAAAATGCATGTCGTCCGTATCCCAAATGGACGTTTAAGATCTGGTGACATTAGAGAAAGAGGAGGCCATTTATACCAGCGTCATAGTTAAAATTGATTGAAAAAATGACTAAGTCTTATTTATTACAAACGGCATTCCGTCCAGATTATAGTGTACTCTTCGTACGTTTTTGCGAATTTGTACTTTTGTATTGTAAGTACTTAAAATAACACACAAACTCACATGAGATTGATATGACTCTTTTAGCATCCAGTTCAAAACGTATTGACTATAAATCAGTTTGGATTCATAAAGCATTTGAATGTGATGGCATCTCAAGATGGAAAGAGTATGTAATTTTAAGTTGATTATCTCTAAATATATTTATATTTTTTAAAGATGACACGAAATATCACACACATATTTCCAGCACAGATCCATATTTTCTTGCTGATATAATGAGTGTCATATATTGTAATGTTAAACACATGAACCACACTATGCCTTAAAAGGACTACTGTTTCTGCAAGTCTTGTGGCTGTGCGTCTCTACTTCATGAAAAACTTCAAAATTCCACGTGGTATACAGCACAATTGCCATGAACAGGCTACATTAGGTTGCGTGACCTCCCAAAGGGTTAATTTCAGCTCTCTTCCTCCAGCTTTCAACAACACTGAACCTGGCACCCAGGGGAAGGTGATGGAGCAGGAGGGGGGGGCGCATTTCGGCAAGTTACATAAAAATAATAATCTCTTAAGGGCCTCCGTGCTGCCACAGTGAAACACGAGTGCACGGGGCACTGCCGGCAGAATGCTGCGTCAAACACAATGTACGTCAAATCAAGCGAGCGCTCTTGGGATCAGACTCGTACGGCAATTGAGTCAGATGTAACGACGCGATGCCGCAGACATGGACATTATGCGGCGAGGTTATGCTGTCGAATGGCTAATAACTAATAACAACGGACCCTGTGCAATTGAGCAATATGCACGGTGATGAAAATGATGTTCAGAGCTACTTGACTGGAATAAGGCAAGTGTTCTTAGGTTGTTTCGGTAAAGTCACGTAGGTAAAACATTAAAATTAATAAAAGTAAAACAAAATAAAAATCACGACGTTTCGGAGGCGTTTCGGAGGCAACACAAGCCTCCGTCTTCAGACGGAGGCTTGTGTTGCCTCTGAAACGTCGTGATTTTTATTTTGTATTACTTTTATTAAAAACCTAAGAATATGAATCCTTGCAGTCACGAAAGCTTCAAATCTAGAATAAGGCAAGTGGTTAGTGGGTAGTAGGTATGTCAAATGGGATTTATATATCTTTTAGATATGCTGCATAATTGCCCCGTCGTTCAGCGGGCACCCAGCTCTGAGACTCAAATTGGCTAATTCGGTGTTCGATCGCAGCCCTTTCCAAAGCGCTGCGTTAAAAAAGATCATTAACAATACTCTTTGGTTCTTTCTGTAAAGTCACGAAGAAGAAAAATAACAATAGATCACGACGCTTCGATCGCCACACAAGCGGTCGTCCGCATCTCCCTCTCCCCCCCCAACTTCCCCTCCCTCCCTCATCCCACCTGAGGACGATCGCTTGTGTGGCGATCGAAACGTCGTGATCTATTATTATTATTATTTTTCTTCTACGTGACTTTTCCGAAAGAACCAAAGAGTATGGATTCCTGCAGTCACGAAAGCTTCAAGTCAAGCATTAGCAATGTTGGGTCCACGTTTGAGCGTTCTTTTTTGGAGGTTACCTAAAAACAATGGAAGGTTTCTGTCAAAGGAGACAGTGCAATATTCAGTCCATTTTAAAATTGGGTTTGAATAAATACAAGCAATTAAACAAAAATGCTCATCTAACAGTGAGATGAGACCTTCCTGCAAAAAAGACATGTACAAGTATAAGCATAGTTTTTGTTAAAGTTTTAAATCGAATATCATGCATATTTCACACACACAAACCACTGCCTTAATTTGTTTATGCCAGGACTCAACATTTGTCTGCAAGGAATATTGTTATGGTATGCTCTGCAGTCACACTCATAACATTCTCATAACAGAAATGGAAATAGCCTCTGATAGTAATGCGACGTCGGAATGTGTTGCTCCCTATTTGTTACTTATTTATTTGGCATGCTCTCGTAGGTTTGGATCTTCCACTAAATATTATGCTCATCTTTCAAACTTGGTTTTACGAAGAATAAACTATTTACACCACTTCTGGACCTTTTTTTTCTCCTCACAAAAAGTCTCAAATTGGAAGAAAACTTCTCTAACAAACAAAATGCTCATAAAGTACTAAATGTCAGCTCATACATTTTTTATTTTGTTTTCTGAACAAATTGTGTCACCTCTCTGTCCCCTTCTCCCTCCTACCCCCATGTCACCTCTGCGTCTCCCTCTCCCCCAACTTCCCCTCCCCCCGTCCCTCCACCGTGTCGAAAATACTTCCAGGATTGTCCTTCCTTTCAAAGCGGTCTTCGTCCCGTTCATTTGCTCGTTCTTCGACTTGAGGAAGAAGGCGAGTTACGCTACTCTTATTCTGGAAAACATGTTTTAGCCGAGCATCTTACCCTTCCATGAGAACGATTTTATTCTTAAAATGTCTTTAATACTTAATTGTTGTTGACAAACTGGAGCTATTGATTGACACTTTACCTAACAGTTTGTCATCTCCCCTTCATACACACCAATATATCATCTATAACACTACATATTTAAGCTGAATATGCATGTGCTTCATCACTGCATAGGAGGAAACTGGATCTACTTGGGGGAAACCCACGAGTGCAGAAAAATAACACTCAGAATTACATATAGCTCAACAGATTAATTCCATTACTTCCATTTCGTGACCCTGCAGGTAACATAATTAATGAAAACTAGTTGTATGCAGCCTGCTAAGGCTCTCTCCTTAATTGTCATTTTCCCAACTGCATTCCAATTGTGGTGTTGTCATCATGTCACGAGACAGAGTATCTCTTGAAAATGTCTGAGATCCTTTCAAATGACCTTTACTATACACACTCGGGAGGAGAGGCAGCAGCAATGCACCTTCTCACATTGCAGTAGAATTGATATATATTTATTCTCAGAGCTGACATTTGACCAAATTAGGTGAACAACTAAATTTACGAAAGCTTCAAATCAAGATTTAATATTATGGTTTTTTTTCTCTACTGCGGTCATTGGAGGGTGCTACCATGGTGTCAAGGTTAGAGCACTGGATTTGCAATTCAGAGGTCGGCGATTTGATTCCATGTCCCGGAACAGCAGTTTAAACAATGGGGCACTGGAGCGATGCGCATTTAAATCTAGATTGAAAAAACTAATTCCTTTAGAACTGCTTTTTACCTTTAGCTTATTGTCCTTTCCCCGCACCTCCGATTAGCACGATCGGCTACGTATGGTGCGAAATAAGTTTCAACTAACGGTACGTAAATCCCCCCAAGCCCCCACTTGTCCACCCAGAAGTATAAATGGGTACACCACAGTTATTCGACGGACGGGTCACGTGTGACGAGGTAAAGTGTGGGTACTGCCGCCTCTTCCAAGACGTGTGGCCAGGCCAGTATGACCAAGTAGGCCAAAATATCCTCCAGTAGAGGTCCTTCCACCAGCAATAAAAGTAGACGCGGAATTTCACTTTTATATTTGGGAGGGGGGCAGGGGTTGACTTTACCCCTCGCATTTGGAATTGCGGGTGCGTATAATTATTAATAGTGTTATTTATTAATTTATTAATCTTAATTGTAAAATACTGAAAATAAATGAATACGTGTCCAGTTTTTTCGGGGGGGGGGGCATAGCCCCCCGTGCCCACCGCCCCCACCCGGCAAATTCCGCCCATGAACAGAAGCCATTGCAGGGTTGTACCTTCACCATTGTTGATTGGGATGAGACCATCAGTTCACTTGCACAACTGAACCCACTGCAGGCTGCTACCTGCACGTGAACCCAGCGACTGAGCGGTGTTGCAACCCCCGAGCGCGCAGCGAGAACTCACGGCTTTGCGCTTGAGTCCGGCGCGGCAGCCGTCGGCCCTGCTGGTGTGGCCCCGCGACGGAAGGTTCCCGCTCGAGTCCTGCGCTTGGCCCAGGCTCTCGTCCACCGAGTGGCTCTTGCGGAAGTGGCCTGGGCCCAGCGTACGCGATCGCCGCAGCTGCTGCTGCTGCTGCTGTGGTCTCTCGAAGGGGCAGTCATCGGGGAGGCAGATCTGCGGGAGAGGCTGGTGGCTCCTGGCCAGGGCGAGCCTCTCGACTTTGGGCGAGAGCGGAAACTGGAAGTCGTCGTCGTCCTCGTCCTCGTCACCTGAACGTGGACACGCGCACGGGATAGGGCTGTTCAGTCACGATGAGCGGCATTTAGTGAGCGTGAGTTTCCACCTGACTCCTCCACCCCCCCCCCCCCCCCCCCAGATCGATTTCCCGGGATGGGGCTTTGTTGCGACAGTGGCTCCAAGGGAAACAAAAGTGTCGAGTAACGATATCTCACCGTCAAGTGTAACTGGATCTGGAGTCTGCGATACAACACCCACGTGTAATCAACATGATTGGCAACTGCCTTTGGGGAATTATACAATAGATCATTAAACATTTCGCAGAGTGATATTAGTGGTGCAGTGGCAGGTGCTCTGAGGGACGAAACTTGCAACCTGAGTTTGATTCCCGACGACGGCTAACATCGGTGGCGAGCGATATCTGAACAACTACTGGGTACCCCCCCCGCCCCCCCACCCCCTGTCTTTCACTCACCCACACTGACCAGCGCAAGTCAAGTCTGGTCAGACAACCCTCACATATGACGTGCTGTTATCCATTATTATTACCACCTAAGGATAAAAGCGTTTTGGCTCATCATCTCCGATTGTTCCACCTCTGCACCCACACTTGGGCATTGTTCCTCCCATCGTCCGTGCGCGTTCTCAGCGAGCGCAAGGCATCGGCATGAGGAGGCCTTTATCCAGCAGTGGATTAACAAGCAGTCTCTAAATTATTGTTTGCATGCATTTTGGCCAATAAATAACGTCCAATATGCACGGAACAAGCTTACAGAGCACATTATTGTAAAACTGACAATAATTGTTTGAGCTTTGCCCTTTTCTAAACAAGCACCGATCGAAATTCCAGGCAGCATAAAAATGTATGGCAACAATTGAACAAATGTCATCCATTTATGGCATGAGTTCAGAAAGAATGTGGTAACAAACTGTTTTTATTTGCCTCGATGTTAAAATTAAAACATATGTCTGCAAGGCACAGCAAATTTATTGCAAGAATTAACCACACGTTTTTGGAGCAAACGTGTTTGAGGTATTTTTTTTGTTTCGTCCGTGGTTCTTTCAGCATCTCACAGTTTCATCATATTTGGAATTTCAAGTCTCGTGTAATAAACTGCGAAGCAAAAGCTATCTTCTAATGAGTTTTCTCATTCAAAACTGCACAGCATAATTTCAAACATACACATGATCCTTATGGCAGTACCCCAGGGTACCAAATAATACAAAATGGCCGAGGCAATTAAATATTTTATTTCTGGGACACTATTTTTTCCAGGGGTGTACTTAACTCCGCGACTGGGCTACCAATCAATCCGAAATCCGTGCTACTCCACGATGTCGAAACGCAGCGAGGACGATTTCGCTGAAATTCTGAACGCTCGCGGTACGCACCGTAGTGGTGCATCGTAGTGTACAGCTCGTCGAGATGAGTCGATTGCCGCATCGCCGACCATCAACAGACTAAAAATTACTGCATCACGGACATTACGCGAGAGCCGCGGTACTATGGTCACCCCGGGGTACCGCCATGAGGTTCTCATGTCCAGCTTCCCTGCAACGGGTATCTTTGAATTGCGATTAACAGCTTACAAGTATATGAGCTAGAGTCTGTTATGGGCACCTTCACTTAAAGAAACAGACTAAATCAATTTCCGAGTGAATGTTGTAGCATGCCATCAAGTTGTTCACCTTACACTTTGAATTTATATCTCGAGGAGCGGGAAGGCTCAACTTCATTTAAACCCAACAGAAGGAACCGCTTTTTAAACAAAGGTAATTTGACCCTCTAATTCCATTTAAAAAACCAACAACACAGTCTATGCGACTACATTTGAATGTGGTTTATGATTGTGCGTGAACCCCCTCAACAAAAGCAATCTGTAACGGGTGGGATTTGATCAAAGGTAAATAATGAATTCCAACGTGCCAAACAGCATGCGTCGATTGAATGGAACGACACATGATGTGTTTTTTTCCTTCACCGTCTATTATCAACGTAGCAGCCTCATACATTGAAACAAGCCTTTGAACGCACCAACCATTATGAACAATGATTATACTAATACTATTATTGAATCACATCATTAATAGGCAGAAACTCCACACCATTATCGAATATGGAATGGTAAAGAGGGCCACCGCGTAGCTAATGAAAGTCATATCTAGGTGCAATATAAATTCACTAATTATATGGCCGTGAGCAGAATAATCAAGATCATCATCAGTCACGGTCAATCCACTGCCAGATGAAGGCCTCTCCAAGCTGCCACCATCTTCCATGATCCCACGATGTATCAATCCACGGAGCATGGTCACGCGAGCTGAATTCATCGCTCCAGCTCCTCAGTGGACTTCCCCGTGGACGCGTTCCACGCCTTGGCTGCCACCCTCTCACGTAACCCTTGAATGTCGGCCAGAGTTCTTTCAAGCGCCATGCCCAAGTCCACTTCACTGCCTTAATTAATAGAATATGTCAGTGTCCTTCACATGTGGCAATGCAGTATGGGAAGCTTTAGAGTAAAGCTTAAGAATGCCACGAATCCAATTAACTCAACAAAAGTGGTTTATATATAGGTACTAGCAAAAGTACCCGGCGTTGCCCGGGTGAAAAATATATTTCTTAATAACCTTACATATGTAATAAAAGACTCGACCACGATGTCTGGCTTGGTGTCCTTTATTCGGTTCGTTTGCTGTCTCCCACACGGCTGTCCTCCTTTGAGACTTTCCACACGGTGCCGACGCTGTTGTTACACCCGTCACCGCTAACAGCCCCGCTGTTGGTCTCCGTCGTTCCCGTAGCCTCTTAGCAGCCTCGCTGCTGTTACCCTCACGCAGCCCCCCCTGGCTGTACTCGCTGCAGCTCCTCCTCGTGTCGCTCCCGTAGCCTCGGACAGCCTCTCGGCTGTTTCCCTGTCGCTCCCGTAGCTCCTAGCAGCCTTGCTGCTGTCTCCCATTCACAGCCTCCCCGGCTATACTCGCTGCAGCTCCTCAACCGCTCTCTCTCTCCAGCAGCCCCACTGCTGTCTCCTCCCGCAGCTCCGCTGGCTGCTCTCTTAGTTGGTCACCGCTGGCCGACGGCGCCACTCTTCCCTGGCTTCGCCCTGTGTGGCCTTACCCTTGCTCAGTCTCCCACTCTCTCTCGTCTCCTTCCGGTTTCATCCCTTAAGGACCCGAACCTTGCTCCCACGTCACATAACTCCACCTCTCCGTGACGTCATATCCGGGAGGTCGCTCGCGCCCGCATTACACCACCCTCCCCCGTAGAGAAAAACCCAGCCGACCTCGGCTGAACAATACCAACAGTAATGCGGGCGAAACCGACCTTGACACACCAAAGGACACCAAGCATGCAATATAACAGTAAGAACAATCAACACAACATAACAATCAACGAACGTACAAGAAGCAGGCAATAAATATAACAGTAAGAACAACAATGCAACATAACAATCAACGAATCACAAGGGATTTAGAACGTGTGCGGGTCGCCGGCCCGTCCCGGACGGTCGGCGGCCCACCCGCAGAGCGGGAACGTGACGGAGGTTGAGGAGTGACAGGGCGTAATCCTCCTGTCGATGTTGGAGGTCCACCAATGTCCCGTGTCCCTGAAGAATTAGCCCCGGACGTGTCCCGCGACTGTGCCTGCAACGGGGTCGGAAGGGCCGCAGGGCCCGGAGTTCCCGCAGTCCTGGCAGGCACCCTCCGAGCAGGGCTCTTCGTCACCTGCGGCGTCACGGCCGGTCTGTCTGGAACAGGCACGACAGGCGCTCTCGCAAGATCAATAGACGCAGGCAGGGGAGAGTCGGCAGCAACAGACCCCGGCAAGGCAACATTAGGAGATGACGTATCATGTAGGGGAGCAACATATGGTTTCAAGCGCGACGTGTGAACAAACCAGCGGCGACATCCAATATGGACACGCGCCGACTGAGGGTTGGGAACCTCAATGAGGCGGACGGGCCCTTGCCAAGGTTTGTGAAATTTAGGAGAGGTACCCGGCCGCACCTGCGGGCAATGGAGCCAGGCCAGGTCCCCAACCTTCCAGGGGCACTCCCCCTTGGAACGTCGAGCATACCTCTCGTTCCGGGCCTGGGCTTTGGCCGTAGCCGCGCGGGCACTCTCCCGCGCCTCCGAGACCCGGCGAACAGTGTCCCGAATGTAATCAGGGAGTGGTTTACGAGGTCCCCTCACACCGGTTCCCAACTGCACATCCATCGGCGGCACGTTTTCCCGACCATACATAAGGTAAAACGGCGAATAACCTGTAGCCGCATGAGGAGTCATCCGGTACGCCGAAAGCACCCCCGGGATGTGCAGGTCCCAATCCGATTGTTGTTCACTCACCGTATGGCACAGCATGGCAGACAATGTCCGGTTTAGCCGCTCAACCATACCATCCGTTTGCGGATGGTATGGGGACGTCCGTACTTTCTTAGTCCCAAGGCCCGTGCACACTTCCGCCAATAATTTAGAAGAGAAATTTCGGCCCTAGTCCGTGAGGAGTCTCTCAGGCGCACCCTTGTCCATAACGTACCCGAACAAAAAGGCGTCGGTAATGGTCGCGGCCGATTGGTCGGGCAACGGCCAGGCCATCGGCCAACGGGAGAGGTACTCAACCCCAACCAGCAAATATTTATTACCCCTCGCCAATGGTGGGAAAGGTCCCAAAATGTCCAGTGCCACCAATTCATTAACCCGAGACACCTGAATTGACTGTATAGGCGGCACATGAGGATGTTTAGGTGGCTTACGTCGGGCACAATCAGGGCACGCGCGGACGTGCCCCACAACATCTGTCGCCATGTCGTGCCAAAAGTAATGACGTTGCAACGTCAATAAGGTCTTCTGCACACCCAGATGTAATAGCGTGTCACAATGGAGAGTTCTAATCAACTCGTATCGCAGGGACGCTGGCACAACCAGACGCCAGCGCTCCTGGAGACCTTCCCTCCACATGAGCAGACCATCTCGGAGCGCGGTTTCCGGTACCCCATCCGTACCCGGACTCCCATTCTCCACTTTAGATCGC